CCCCCCAGTTCTGGGGGCCACCTCCAGTAGTCCAGATCCATATCGGGCCACTGGACCCAGAGGGCTCTGGAGGACAAAGTGAGGCTGGTGACCTTGCACAGCCCTGCCTCACTTAAATCTAATTCACTTGCAAGGCACAGCAGCACCCCTCTGATGTCCCTTCCTGATGTCACAGTCCTCTTTGAGATGGAAAGACAAACCACAACCTGTGAGTTGTATGGGCTGCCCCACTGGGGACCCAACTGGCCACTTCCACTTGGGCAACGCAGCCCCTTCCCTCCTTTCCTTGCCTTCCTTTCCCTGCCCTCTCCACATGGGTATCACACCCTTACCTGCGGGTGCTCTGTCCAAAGGAATGTAAATCTTAATGGCTTAGACCTAGCAAGATATCTTTAAGGTTTAAGGGCTAGATTTCTTTCTCAAGACCATGCCTTAAGACCTTTCTTGAGACCTTGCACAGCCCTCCCTCACTTAAATCCAATTCACTTGTTTGTCATGGCATCACCTTCCTGATACCTTGATCCTCTTTGAGAATGGACAAGCAACAATAACAAAGCCCTTGCTACACATGTAGCAAGCACTGGAGGTACCAGCATGCAAACCCGAGGGTCCCAGCCCTCAGACTGAACTGGCTTCAGGAGAGATCTTGGAAATTCTAAGAGTTGCTGAGAGTCTCGCACACATACACTCCACTCACGTGGCTGCCACCACCGTTGTGCAGACCCTCATCGTATCTCAGCAGCTTCCTCCTTAGCCTCCCTGCCTCCAGTCTCTCTCCACTGCAGCCCATCCCCAAAGTGACCTTCCTAAAGCTCAGGCCCAATCATCACACACGCACACACACACACAGACACACACACACACACCATTCAGTAAACTGTGTAAAAAATTAGGGGGCCATGGAATACTTTGCCTGTTAGATTTATGGATGAGGGAAGAATTTATGACTGAATAATTGATAAAGAACATTACAAAATGTAAAGTGGATAATTTTGGTTGCATCAATTCTAAAGGTTTGCACAAACAAAACTAATGTAGCCAATATTAGAAGAAAAGCAGGACACTGGGGAAAAATCATATAGCAAGTATCTCTGATAAAAGCCTCATTTCTTAAATATATGGAGAACTTAGTCAAATTAATAAGAATACAAGTTATTCCACACAGATCAAAGGATATGAATAGGCAGTCTTCAGATGAAGAAATCAAGGCTATTCAGTCATATGAAAAAATGATCTAAATCACTATTGATTAGAGAAATACTAATTAAAACAATTCTGAGGTACCACCAGATTGCTGATATGAAAGGAAAATGACAAATATTGGAGGGGATGTGGGAAAATTGGGACAATTTTGCTCTTGGTACAGTTGTGAACTAATTCAGCTATTCTGGAGAGCAAGGTGGAACGATGCCCAAAGGGCTGTAAAATTGTGCACACCTTTGGTCCAGCAATACTACTATTAAGTCTGTATCCCAAAGTGATTACTGTGAATGACTTAGCTATTCTCAGCAATACAGTGATCCAAGACAATTCTGAGGACTTAAGATGCAAAATGCCATCCATCCCCAGAGAAAGAACCGATGGTGTCTGAATACAGATCTAAGCAGACTTTTTAAAATTTATTATTCTTGTTTTGGAGGGGTTTTTGTCTGCATTTTTGTTTGTTTTTTGCAACATAGCTAATATGGAAATATATTCTTCATTTGCACACATACAGTCTATCTCAAATTGCTTGCCTTCTCAATGAAGGGGGAGGGGAAGGGAGAGAATTTGGAACTCAACATTTTAAAAAAGAAATGTTAGAATGTTTTTCCTTACACATAATTGGGAAAAATAAAAATTCAATGTAAAAAATATGAGGAGCAAGTTGTCTTAAAATCATGCTTCAAGGTTTGCGAAGCACCATGCCCAAGCACCTTCATCCACAAAGGGGTGGTGTAGGGATCACTCTTCACTTTTTTTTTTTAATTTTACATTTATTTATTTTTAGTTTTCAACATTTACTTCCACAAGCTTTTGAGTTCCAAATTTTCACCCCATCTTACCACTCCCCCACCCCAAGATGGCATGCATTCTGAATACCCCTTCCCCTAGTCTGCTTTCCCTGCTATCTCTCCCTCCCTTCCCCTTCTATTTTCCTGTAGGGCAAGATGGATTTCTGTACCCCATTTCCTGTATTTCTTATTTCCCAGTTGCATGTGAAAACATTTTTTTAAACGTGTTCTTTTAAACTTTGGGTTCCAAATTTTCTCCCTTTCTCCCTCCCCACCCACCCTCATTGAAACTCAATATAGGCTATAGTATGTGCAGTATGTGTATAGGCTATACATGTGCAGTTATGCAAAACACTTCCATAGTAGACATGCTGTGAAAAACTAACTCTATTTCCCTTAACCTATCCCGTCCCCCCCATTTATTCTAGTCTTTCTTTTGACCCTGTGCCTCCTCAGAAGTATTTGCTTCTGATTACCCCCTTTCCCAATCTGCCCTCCTCTCTATCATCCCCCTACTCTCTTGTCCCCTTCCCCTCCTATTTTCCCGTAGGGTAAGACAGATTTCCATACCCAATTGATTGTGTATGTTATACCCTCCTTAAGTCAAATCCTATGAGAATAAGATTCACTCATTCCCTCTCACCTTCCCCCAGGTCCCCTCCACTGTAAGAGCCTTTTCTTTTCTGTTTTTTTTTTGTGAGATAATTTACCCCGTTCTACCTTTCCCTTTCTCCTTCTCCTAGTATAATCCTCTCTCACCCCTTCAGTTTATTCTCCAGATATGACCCCTTCATCTTCAACTCACCCTGTGCCCTCTATCTATCTATCTATCTATCTATCTATCTATCTATCTATCTATCT